CCACGCAACCTGGCTTACAAGACTATATTTATTAACGAAAATGATCTCTCACTCAGTAAAAAAGATTCCCCTTACCCTTTGATATGAGACTAAAAAAATATTTGAAAACATTAAGTAAGATTTACCAAACATTTTTTTTAAATTCCTCTAATATTTCCTGCAATAACCCTCAACATTAACTTTTAGAAAACTTTTAGAAAAATCAGAATCTGAAGAAAACGAATTCATGCATGTATATACCAAAGGAATTTCAGCCAACTCAAACTCTGGACTAGCGGACCTCCTACCTGACAGAATACTAAAATGGCCTCTTTATAAAGTTCTTTCAACAACCAATACCCAACTCTATGCTACCCTGGAATCAATTGCAGTCATTAAAAAAACAACCTTTACTAACTTAATTATTTTTTACTCCAACGATAACCTTACAATACATACAACACAAACTTTCAAATCTAGATAAAAAAATGTTTAATTATCCTGAGCGAATTCTTTAAAAACCGCCTATATATCAAATAAGATGAAAATAATAGTTACTGAAGCCTCAAAAATACCATCATAGATAAGGAAGCTCCTCTCCCCCTAGATAAAGTATATAAAATTCTAGCAACAGCCATATGCAACCTTTGGAATAACAATTGAATTACCTCAAAAAAAATTTTTTTCTATACTCAATAAAAAGTAGCACGTACGAAAACCCAAACTTTAATCTTTCGAAAGGAAAACAAGTTATTATTACTAAAATTAGAACTGGACATATGACACTAACACACTCTTGTATATTTAAGAAACAACATAAACCAACATGTTTGCAGTGTAATATTCCAATTTCAATCAGACATATTCTTCATGATTTCACCTTGTACAATGTAACTAGCCAAAAAATTAACGTAACAGATGATATAAAAATCAACGTAAGTACAGCGAACGAAGTTTCAAAGACTCATATTTCCTGATCAAATCAACCTTACTCGTTTATTGTGATAACTGTAATTTACACCATATCATTCATGAAATATATGTACATATGTATATATATATATATATATATATATATATATATATATATATAATGTAACTTCTATATACGTATTTGTTATGTACTATATATCTGCAATATTTATGTGCAATAAACTTCTGTAATGTATTCACTAATGTAATTCACTAATGTATACAGTATTCACTAATAACCTTGATATTGATGCGATTTGAAATAAAAAAATAAATAATAAATAATAATAAGTTGAGTTAGAATTTTCAATTCGGAAATATCATTTATTTTAATATATTTATTTTTTAGTACATAGGTTATATATTTATTCATTTGAAAATGGTTGAAGTTGAAGTTGTAATATAAAAACTTTACTATATAAGATAATTGATAATATATACCGCAAAGTGCGTGTCTCTTAAACAGTAAATATTGAATATAAGACGTGATGTGCAACGAATGAAACTAGTTAAGTGGTTGTTATATTTAAAAATGTAAAAATTTCGAGTTATAGTTAATCTAACTATTTCTGTAAGGCCAATACTACCGATATTACTGTACGCATTATATTTGAATAAAATAAATAAAAATTTATAAAAACGCTGTCTCTGCAATTACATTTTACACATATTATCCATATTTTATTAACTAAACCAGTAGTTTAACGTAATGGCAGTTCATTTATAATTGAATTTCTCTTCTCAACACCACGAATTCAACTTTCGTCAAATTGACGAAGTGACGAAGATTTTTGATTGTAAAAGTCATTCAAAAAATGCAAATATTGTGCAAAATGTAAGCTGCCATTATAAAACTTGGTATTAACTCAATACAGATTATAGATAATTTTCTCAGAAGCCGACGCCAACGTCCCTTTAAAATTCCTAATGCTCGCTCAACTACCATTCTCGTTTTAGAATGAACTTTATTGTACCTTATCTATCTTTAGTTTAAATGTCTATTATCATGAAAAGGAATATCAGTACGCGTTGTTGCAAAGTGCAAGCCTGATCGCCTAATAAGTGAGTGTCGTTTGGAAAATATTACAGATATCTTGTAATCCACATAAACGAAAAACTCGCTGGTCATGTACAGAACATACTTGTCCTGTATAACAGTTTATAAATGACATTGTATGATCTACAACAACTTGCAGTAAAATAGGTGCATTTTTATCCGATTTATGTAAGACCGACCGTCTTTGTAAAGAGGAATATTATAGTGAGTCGTCTACGATACTGACTACACAAGAAAACCGTATTGGAATTTCCCACATGGGATACCACATGGGGTCCCACATGGGAGCCTACATGGGATCTTATGCGGGATCCCGCATGGGATCCCATGTGGGATCCTTTCCGGGAATTTGATAGGATTTCCCACATTGGATCCCACATGGGATTCCGCATGCGGTACCAAAAAAAAATTATTGATATAAGCGTATTTTCATTGATAATACCTCGAATAAATATTTTCAACATGCAATAATACTAATAATCACAATTTTAACTCATTACATTTTATTTTCTTAATGAAAAATCGAATTACAAATTTATTATTCAATAGTATTAAGTTGGAACTTATATCACTTTTAATATTCATAAGCTTTAATACAGAAACCAAATAAATTGTTTTTCTTTTCATCTTCGTGCGTCTTATATGGCGTAGCCGATATGTCGCTTGTATAATCCTTTCCAAGTCGCTGCCATAGCTCCAGTAGGATCGATGGCGTTGCAGCGTTTCATTAAGAGAACTGTAAGAAGAATAATATTAATTGGAAGCAACTATTAACATAGTTAACTTTAGTAGAATAACAATCTTTTTATAACCTTTGATAATGCGTAATTCTCGACGGAAAATACATTTATTTGCCAATTCATGTGGTTGAAATAAACAACGAAAATCTGCGTCGAAATATTTGAGGTTCTTGTTGAAGCGTTTATTTCAAACACATGAATTGGCAAATAAATGTATTTTCGAGATAAAAACAACGGTAGTAGTTAATGACAAAGAAAGACTAGAAATGTCCCGTCGAGAATTACGCATTATCAAAGGTTATAAAAATATTGTTATTCTACTAAAGTTAACTATGTTAATTGTTACTTCCAATTAATATTATTCTTCTTACAGTTCTCTTAATGAAACGCTGCAACGCCATCGATCCTACTAGAGCTATGGCAGCGACTTAGAAAGGATTATACAAGCGACATATCGGCTACGCCATACAAGACGCACGAAGATGAAAATAGAAAAACAATTTATTTGGTTTCTGCATTAAAGCTTATGAATATTAAAAGTGATATAAGTTCCAACTTAATACTATTGAATAATAAATTTGTAATTCAATTTTTCATTAAGAAAATAAAATGTAATGAGTTAAAATTGTGATTATTAGTATTATTGCATGTTGAAAATATTTATTCGAGGTATTATCAATGAAAATACGCTTATATCAATAATTTTTTTTTGGTACCGCATGCGGAATCCCATGTGGGATACAATGTGGGAAATCCTATCAAATTCCCGGAAAGGATCCCACATGGGATCCCATGCGGGATCCCGCATAAGATCCCATGTAGGTTCCCATGTGGGATCCCATGTGGTATCCCATGTGGGAAATTCCAATAGGGAATCCCCATAATAGATGAAAACTTTCTGCATTATCAGCAAGATCTTCTGGCCAATGAATATAATGATGAAGTATTCTTTTATCTTATTATCCTCTTGTAAAAAAGAGAATCTGACAATCCTCTTATAAAAAAAAGAACTTGACAAAGTGAAGCCAGTTTATTCGTGACCCGATTTTCTCAAAGATAGTCACGTGATCAATTTTTATGTGATAGTATACGTTGTATACGCTTATGAAAAATTACTGCAGAATTTTGTAGACGATTAAATGTTTGAAAAGTGTATCAGTATAGTTGTCATGAGTTTAATATGAATTGATTGATTTAATCATACTAACCTCAAGACAATGACCAACTGACACCTTGATCGATAGATATTAATTGAACTTTGCTCTATACAAAAATTTATCTTCAAATGAACGAAGTAGGTAATAAAAAATATAAATTAATAGATTATTACGATAAAATATTGTACAGTGATTTTAGCTTTATTAAGTTACGTAAAATATTTAAAAAATAATTTGAAAAGGCACTAATTATACAACTATGAACGTTCTATAGCCAAGTATGTTATTTATATCGTGAAAGATATGATTATAGAAAACTAAAATGTTTTTATAACTTATAATCTATTTCTTATCGTGTTTTTCAAACTTTTAAATAATGATTTTTCAACATAAAACTTCAGGTGATAAAAACGTAAAACTTCATCGATAACATTTTTAAATCATGATTGTCAATATAACTGTATATTTATTCAACAATAAATAATATCGTCGGCTGTATCTCATATTAAATCACAGAAATGTTCAATACATGTTGAATTTTTGAATTATCAATTTCGCTAATAAAAGTTTTGATCTATATATTCGTTATGAATGCAAAAAAAGATGAAAAAGACGAGCCTTCGAAGCGATATAAACAGCACTAGTTTTATGAAATTCTAAAACAACTCTTACGACGCATCTCAGAGCTATTGCCTCAGAAACTCCAAGTCGATTTGCAATGTCACTATAAGAAAAGAAACAATCGGATTTATAACGGTGTTAAACATTTAATGCATTTTAATTAAAGTATGTTTGAAGGTGTTTCATAGTTCAGAAGATTTTTACCTATATGAAGACGTGTGCAAAATACCACAACGCTACTGCTAATTGTTTATCAGCAGAAGTTAATTTTTTATCGAAATCAAATCTATTTACTAAATGAACCTTTATTGCATCTAGCATGAAATTAAAATTCATTTTGTTCAACCTGAAGAATTTTCTGAAATACTTATTATCACATCCGTTTAATACATCCACGAAGTTGGAACTGGATCCCTTTATCATTTTACGCTTTTGTTTAATAAATAATTGTATAATAATTAATAACACGATGAGTCACTTGATGATTCAAAAATCATTTCATTTAGCAGTACTAAGCCATGCATCCATTAATAGCTGTTTATTCGTATTTGGAATATTCATTCTGTAGGATTGGAGGCTTATACAGTATAAATTTTAGATTAAAGAAATTCGCTTTGTTTGCGTTTCAGCCCACCGCGTCGCTTCAAACTCAGCTCTTTTTGAAATGCCTTTTAGGGTTATATTTTGAAACGGTTAGCTTTGTTTGCCGTTAGAGAATAATGCAATATTTTGAATGTTGGATTTCGAAAAGTCTGGGAAAAACCACAACGTACATCGACGCACATGCTGTTCCAAGAGAAAAAATTAATCAGATTCAACATTTGGTTTTTGTTAGTCAAGCTTGTATTCAATTAACTAAAACAAACGAACAAAGTCCCTAGCAACGCTTTTTTATCTTTGAACGTAATACATAACGATGTTATTATTTGTTATTTTTAAATAAAAATTGAAGATGAAATATTTAGAGTTGAATAATATAAAAAATTATTCTCGAACAGTTTATGGCAAATATCCATGCCGTCTTAAACCACAACAAGCGGTTAGTTGAAATCCGTCTGACAAGTACTCGTAGAAATTCAGCAGAGGGAAAGCTACGGTACTTTAATTGAGATAATATTGAAATAAATGAGCTGATGGCGCTCTTATTGGTATGAGACGTCGGTCGCCTCCTTCCTCGGTAATAACGTAATAATCACGACCGTTGATCGAGTAGGTTTTGCGGGTCCATTCCTGACTGAATTGATAAACCGGTGGTGGAGTTCTTGTCCAATCGCTCGAACCCATTTTCCTCGTGTACCAGGAATCGTCTAGTGAACTGGTGGCACCGATCTGAGCCTTGCAACAACAATGGAACCATTCTGAGTACATGCACTTGCGGATGAACCTTAGGCAAAACGAAAACAAGTACGTTATTCCAAGCTCACTTCTCTATCGATCAAGTTTGGATAATTCACATACCTTGAAAACAGTTCTAATATAAATATCATGAAACCAACACCCATACCGGAAAACACAACTTTGTATGTCATCCAAAGGTCCGAAACTTTTAATCGTCGCTCTTTGGATCTTAAATTTAGCGGGCAATATTGAGCCTCCGTTAAGTTTTTCATTTTAATCTGTTTTATTAAACCACATTCGACTGCTTTAATAAACCTGCGGAGTAGAAATAATAGCGACGAGTATTATTTTCAATTTTACGCATTTTCAGTAAAGTGCAATATCTCGTTTCCATTGAAGTTGAAAATGTATCAGCTTAAAAGTGAAAGGGAGCCTACTCTTTATCCAAAGAAGCTTTGATGCTCGAGTTTACTTGAAATCCAAAAGCTCGTACGATTGGTAGCACGTTCTTTTCACTTGTAACAAAAGTACACCGCTGGTCTTCGTGCATTCCAAGTCTAGTTTTATTTCGATAGTCTTCGAAAATTGCCATTTTCGCGAGTACACGATCGGTGACGAATACTTTACCATCTGAAAAAAGTTATCATCTTAATCATGTACATTTCAGATTTTATATTGAGTAGAGATTACATATTTTACTGACAAGTAGCTTCTTTCAATATAGTTGCATACGGCATGTCATAGTTCTTGTAAACGAATCCATAATATCGTCTAGTTTCTGACAATCTTTTAGTTTGAATGAAATTCTGTAATAATAAAAAATGTCGATTATTTAATTTTCACAACGTGATTGTGCATTTCTAATTGATAATGTATACAACATATACGTATACATATTTTTATTTATAATAAATTTTCTAAAGTTACAGGAAAATCGGTGATTTAACGAGGTGTGTTTTATTTTCAAATCGATTGAATTCTTCTGAGCTTTCAATCATAATTCAGATTAAAAAACGCTGCCAGCTGCTCTGGCGGTGTGCTTCCTTGGATGTGTTTTTTATAAAATTTTTGAAAATAGGTTTCTTCTAAGTACTATATCTTTTGATATACATCGATTATTCAATCATGCAATGATTCATTTAAAAGCTACTTGTAAAAGCTTTAAAACAAGCTTTCATATGACGAAAAATACGTTCTCAATCAAAAGTTATAGCAATTTTACAGAAAAATCACTTTTTAAAAATTGACAACTTTTTCCTAAAAATGGGAACTTTTTCCTAAAAATGGGGTATAAAATATTTTTTAAGTCGGTTATTTGCCTTAAAAAATATTTTCCCACCTACCTTCCACCATAACAAAACATATGAAAAAAGTCTCATCAAAATCTATCGACTGGAATAGTCATGGCGATTGACAGAACACATACACACATACACTCATACATCCCCACCGACAGACGTCATCAAAATATGACTTTGACGATGATTCTGAGCTTCTGACAATAATTCTATGGTAAAATATCAATTTACACAGTTTCAGGACGTGTAGATCTATCAAAAAAAAAAAACAAGAATGGAACCGCGAACGATAAAATTTAAAAAATTACAGCGAAAAAGGAACAATTATTGAAAAAGCCGAAAACAAAGCTTCCTTTCCAAGGAAGCAAAATTGTAGGATCAATTTTACTTACGTAAGCCATCATTCTTTCTATAGAACGTCCGTCAATTATAAACCATTGGTAATGATAATCCGCTAAATCGTCCAAACTATTTAGAGCTAGTGTAAATTTAGACAACGTGAGGAAAGCTGTCAAGTTTGCTGTATAAAATGACGTTAAAACGGTGATGAATATCCACCAAGTAGCAAATACCAATCGCGTAGAATCTGTAAGAAAGATATCAATAATTAATCAATTCTCAAAAAATAATAATATGCTATTTTTTAAATCACGTAAATCTAAAAAAAATGCACCTCCAATTGGAGCTACGGTTGTTCCTTGTTTTAGCAATGCTCCATAGACAAACCACATGCAAGTCAGAAAAGTAAATTTATCAGCACGTGAATCACCTTCAAGTTTTTTCCTATAATAAAATAATGTATCAAAATAAATGTCTTACAACTCTATCCTTGTTGAAAAGGTGTCGGGAATTTATGAAATTTTCTGGAAATACATGAAAGTTTATCAGTTATCAAGTTTATATTAAATGCAACAAATCCGATACTACTTCAGCATTTAACTAACGATATTTCCACATGAAAAATTACATTCACTTGTTAAAATTTTAGCAAAGTAGAACTTTTGAACGTGTCAAAGAATGAATTATAGTTCTTATATTAGTTGACAAAAATAGCGCCACATTAAATACTTTTGAACAGTTTAACTTTTATGAACAAATTTTGTTTCTATCATAAAGGTCTGCCTGCAGATTATAGTATTGTATGAATTTGAGTATAGCTCTATTATTATTACAAGATTAAGAAAATTGGATTAAAAGTTATGGCTTCCGACATATTTTTATGCATAATAATTTTCTAAAATTTTTAAAATCGTCGATTTAACGACACGAAACTTTCTTTGTAAGTTACATATTTAAATTAATTGATATTTAAATTAGTGATGTATTTTAATATACTGTTTATATATAACTAGTAAAGATATTATATTGAAGAGAATTATAAATATCAGTTATTCTGATAATTTTGAAATTGCGCAAAGTTCTTAAAGATGATATCGAAGCGCGTACTTTTTTCACCCGAGGATTTTTTTTCCACCTTAATTTTATGAGAAATTCCAATGAGACGATGCAAAAAGAAAAAAAAATGGACACATTCTTCGAGACGTAAATTTCTGATTCGAAAAATTTGTTGTAAAAGCGATCATCCAGAGACGTCGAATATAGAAAAAAATTTAACTTGTAAAATCGATATATAAATTATATTAAATACAATCTTCTAAAATTTGCAAATCTCGTTTTTCAGTTAGTTTAAGTCAACAAATAAAGTAGATAAAGAAATCATAAATTGCAAAATTAACGATTTGATGACTATCACATATAAAATCTTCATGATAGCTCAAAATGTACTAAAGTAGTGCGTACCTCAAATGAATAAATATGTAAATAGTTGGACCCACAATTAATAAAGCTCCTAGTATGAAAAACCAAACTTTAGCGCTGAACGGTGCTAATAATCCTGATCCAGTAGATGAAACAGGTGGCCTTCTCATTAAAAAAGTTGTGTCCATTTCATCCAATGGCGTAGAGTATGCACAAAAATTTCTGAATTGACTTAAAATTGGAATAAAAGCAACAGCCATATCTACTTGCTAGGAAAAGATATGCCATAAAAAATCATTCCAATATGACGTATTTAAGAATTATTGTATAATTCAAACTATAATGAGCACCATATCCATTTGCAGAAAATCAAGAAATATTATTATTTTGTACAATTTCTCATTAAGTTACATATTAACTGCACATATGGAAAGTATTTTAATTACTATTGCGACAATTATACTTTCATTAATGAAAGTTGCGTTAAAAATGTCTTTTTTGTTACTAATAGTTTTATGTATAAGTAATTTTTCTTGATTTTCTTGTAAACTTATCACCAAAAAGTACAGGATCCGCGTTAGTCACTAATTTTAAAAGACAAATAAGATCACTTAATTATATGCTAATGTTCGATTATGCAAATATCTCTCTATAACGAAAAAATTTTAAATGGAGTTATTAATTAATGAGAAAATTAAACTTACTTTAGTATATAACTGATGTATCATGCCTTTATTTTCATCTCCAATCTGATCTACATCTGGTGGTATGATCGTATAAGTAAATTTAAATTTTTTAGCCATCAATTCCAATAATTCAAAGGCAAACCCTTCCCCGACATACGTGCCATTATCTAATTTTTTATATCTTGAATAAGGCCAATCCTTGAGAGTAAATGAAAATTAATAACAATTACTTTTTCTCGTTCTTATAAATAGTAATTTCACTCACCGAGTACGTGGTCACCGTAACATGCGACGGAAAAGTAAAATTTCCAGGCTCCATACCTTTTTTAAATAATCTTCAAATTAATTTTTTTTTTGTCGAACCATCTTCATTATTTTCTTCCATTATTGAATTGTTTACCCAATTATAGTTTCATTTTGCCGAATACCTTGAATTTAATAACGAAAAATTGTATAAAGACTATCGATAAATAAAAATGTCGCGTTCTTATTTATGCTGATAATAAACAAATAGGAAATAAAGCTGAAAATCTCTAATTAAATTGCAATATTTAGCGATAATAAACTGTAATGAAAATTGAATATCATTGCCAAAATAAGTTCATTTGATGCAAAAATCGAATTTTACTCGAGCAATCAAATTTTACTCGTTTATTGATTACAAAAAAGTCATTAACTGCATTCTATAACTACGTACAAGATTTTATTTTAGCTTACTAATTACGAATTACAGAAAAAATATACAAATGAATTATCTAACTCATAGTTATTATATAATTCTTGTTATCGATATTGATAACTAATATACGTAAAATGTAGGTTTCAAAAATTCAAAAATAAACTATTTCCAAACTGAAGAGATTAGAAGTAAGATTCTAATTTTTATCTTCCGTGATAATTGTATACCTACTTTCGATTGTACTCGATAAAAGAAATTCAATATAAACATTTAGTTATATTTCAAAAAGTGAAATAGTTTTGAAATAATTATCATTTGAAGTAAAGTGACATAGTAAATCTAAAATTGGTAGTAACTCAGTTGTTGTGTAATTGCAATTTATATATTTCATTTCAATAATCTACATATTCACTATTTTTCTGGATTTTCATTTAGTGCTTTTAAATTCAGTCTCTCTTTTTACCAATAAATCTGTAACTTATTGAATACATTTATTGAATACACTTATTGAATACAAAAATATTTTAAAAACCAATATTGAAGTCGATTAAAACCAGAATATTTATTTTAGTAGTTTAGTATTTATTAAATAAAAATGATGATATTTTAGTAAATTAACGAAACGCTATTATATGCTTATTTTATTTATACCGACTATAATTTCCCAGGATGAAATTCGAACGCTGCATTACGTTAAGATGCTTCGAAAGTCATAATATTGTTAGTTATTCAATTGTTAATTTACAATATGATGGGGAAAATAATTCGGTTGAAAAACAAAATTGAAAATTTGTTTACTTTTTTCAATTTTACTGTAGTATTATTGGAGTGTGTTGCACTTTAACTCTGGACATTATACTTTCATTTTTACGTACGATATAGAACTATTAGTTTAAACTGCACTCTACAGTCTCTATTACAAACACTAAATCTAATTCGATTTCCAAGCTTCCACAATTTTGATATAAAGTAATTCAAGCATTTAGAACTAAATAGCATCTAAATTAAACTTGAACATTAAAAAGTTACAATACTTTTTTTATTTTCGAAAAATCGTAATAGATGATATTATTTTTGCAAATACAAAAACTAATTAGTCGATGTTCTAAAGCTAAAACGATTTGAAAAGAAATGTCATGAAACGCACGACAAATTGTAACAGCTAAATTGAATACAAGTATATAAGTAGTGCGACGGAGCACGCGCAAATCAACACTGACTCTATTCGCGTATCACTCATTTGCTCACCCCACGTAGCCTTTTCGAGTTCACATACGTAAGCATATATTTTCAATAAGAGGGGCAAAAAAAAAATGGATAGACATACGCGGGTGACGTTTTAGATGTCACGCGTTGACAAACGTAGAAGAAAGACAGTGACACGGAAAAACGGGGCGTAACTTACCCTCGCTCAACACTTTAGTGGTCACGCGGAAACAAAATGTAGGGACGTCCACCACGAACACACGAGCAATAATGCAGCTCGATCGATCTCCACCGAACCCCTATGATTCCTATATTTTTCTTCTTTATCGTTTTCATCGATTTTCAATGAAGGCTTTTCTGGTTGCTGCGTTTTTGTTCTCTTTGTGTACAAATTTCGAACCTGCCCTATCAACATCAATAATCGATACGTTAAAACCACGGATACTCTTTTGTTAGCAAAAGTATATACGGAACAAAATTGTCTAGAAACTTGACAGAGTATGATTTGTAAAAACATGAATTCTACTTAATGTTATATGTATAATAGAATGTCTGTATTCGTCTACAAAAGGGAATTGATATAAGAGTTCGATGCTTACTCAAAATATTGAATTCAAAATTATTGTGCTTTTACAAGAAAGCAATTGAATTTTTTTTTCTCAAATTTATCGGTCTGTAACATACTTTACAAAACATCAAAATCTTACGAATCTTCCAACAATTTTCAGCATCTATTTCAGACAATTCTAGTGTTATTGATACGAAAGCTTTATGTCTGGATCAGCGTATTTTAGAATTAATAATGCGCATCGGCAAAGTGCAATTACTCGCGTTTTCATTTCCCTGAAAAAAGTATGAACTTCGCATGTACTATGTGTATTCACAATTATACTTTCCATATACCCACGGCTTTGAAGTATAATTAATCGATATTCGCGTGATGTTTGTGTAAATACTGGAATTATCCACGACATTGAGTGATGAAGTTCTGCATAACGTGATGAATTCATTAAAATTCATGGGGTTTCATGTTTGTACTACCACTTATTTATCATGGTAGCTTAGATATTGTAGTATTGGACATAGTCACATAGTAACTTTAAGATTTAAACAAATGAAGTTAAGAACTTGTACCAATTACTTAGTTGTAGCATTGCTAATCCTTCATTTTACCAGAAACGGATTTGCATGAACCAACCTTATCTTGACTTGAAACATTCTAAAGATATTCTTATAGATATTCTTATTCAAACACTGAAAATTGAAGTTAAAGAGTAAAACGTACTATTACAGAAAAAAATGGTATTGACGAATGTAAAATTAGATTGATTTAAATTAGTTACTTTATCCATTTTTGGATCCAAGTTTCACTGCTAACACATTAAAAAGAATTAATACTTTCGGATACCGGTCCGAGAAAGTAATTTCAGCCTCGTACAGACGTTTGCGCCCGAGTGAAGCGAAAGAGGCTGAAGAGACCACGCGAGGCTGAAATCACTTTCTCGCGCATGTATCTAACTTTATTTTTTGATACGACGCGTGTGGGCCGAGATTTGAAGTATGCTCGATTTCTCGAGCGGGAATAAAGTCAAGTTCCCGCGCACGGAGCATCGGAAAACATATTTCGACTGATACGCGGTCTTCATTTTGTAGACAGTTAAGGTTTTCATTGGAACAAGTGTTTTCTGGTAATTTGAGTAGATCAGACTTACGAAGCTTTAATTAAAACATACTTGCGTTCACTCTCAAAAATATTAATTACAATAAATTTTTATTGAATTTACTTTAAACGCATTGTTCACCGTTTTCACTTGTACATAAGATTTGAAAAAGTAGGAACATTTATTGTTTTCTGCGTAATTAAGGCAGTTTTATACGTACCCTTCGTGTATTTAGTTCAACTTCATATATCTTTCCGTGATGCCAGGTGCGCCCCTACATTGCTGTTACTGCACATAACTTGCATATGTTGCGCTAATAAAAATTTTTATTTTCATTAAAACACAGTTAAATGCTTACTACTCGTTCATAATATTAATGTTAGATCATTTATTTTCGAGCTTGCTTAATTGAGTTTGAATAATTATATAGATGAAGAAATAAATCTTTTTATATAGAATATTAATTTTTAAATATATTATTATTTTTTTGAAAATAATCAATAGTAGTTAATTAACTTAATTAATTAGTTATTTAACTTAATCAAGTTACCAAGTGGCTGGCGTAAAAGAATTGTGTATTTAACGAGGTTCGAAGGAGTCATGATATATAAGGAAGGAAGGAGTGTGGGCAGCAAGGTCGTGTATTGATTGCGTTAAGAGATAAACAAGGAAGAAAGGGTCCAGTCGCTGACAACCCCGATTAATCATCACTGCAAGGACACTACTTCATACTTGTCGTTTCACGGACGTAAATTAAATAGTTGACAATTTGGGTTTTCATGTTTTCAAAGTAAATTATAATTTCATAACACGTAATGTACGTAAAATAATAATATCTAAAATGAATAAAGCATATAATCTAGTCTTAAAAAAAGCCTTGAATTCGTGTAAAAAAGCTTCAATCGGCGAGCTTAGCCTTATCTAATTCTTCAGCCTTCAGTCCTATTATTTGTTCTTTCCGTCTTCGCGTTAGCAGTAAGAGTTCATAAAAAGGATGCGAAAGAGCTTAGGTTATCGTTACATCATTGCACGTGCTTTTTTAACTGCTCGCGTGTTTCTCGGCTTCGCGCGCGCGAGAGCGACCTTTTGCGATGTCCGCCCGAGGTTCACACACGCAGGCAGACGCACAGCGAAACGCCTCGCAAAATGACTGTCCAGGGAAAAGAAACGCGTAAAAGCCCGGTTGTACAGGTGCACATAAAAAGCTCGCGAGCTGCACGTCATTCGAGAGCTTGCGCGTCTATATGCCTACGGCTCGATGCGCAACTGGCAGCCAGAGAGCGATGTTTACAGTTACTCGCGTACACTTGGAAAGGTGAACCGTCGATCCGCGCTGCTTTTCCCGGCTGTTTTGCTCCCCCCCCCCCCCCCCCCCTCATCGCCCGTCCCCCAGAAGAAAAATAGTCGAGCGCCCCTCGCGCGTATTTGCGAGCAACGGCTCTTCAGCTGTGCCTCGCCTGCCACTTGCTCGAGCGCGGTGCGGCTCGAGTAGAAGCTAAATAACGCGCTACGAAAGCTTGGACGCGAGCAGGCCGGACTTTCTTTTTTCGCGAGTTTTAGTCGACGACGCCAAGTTACCAGGACGAGGATTATTGAAAAACTTGGCGGGCATCGGCTCCGTCGGCTCGTTACAGCGGCAGCCAGCGTTTAATGCGCACAGTCGATATAATTATACGTCTGGCGCGCGGAAGCAGCTAACAGCGTGCGCGAGCGTTTTAGCCGTATAATACAGCCGCGCGAGAAATAAAAGCGACGCGCCGTTCCTCTCTCTCTCTCTCTCTCTCTCTCGCCCGCGCGTGCACGCGCGCAGACGCGAAAACTCATCAAAATTAATTTGCCCCGACGACGCCGAGGCGCGGATACTTCGCCAACTTTTCCTCCTAGTCCCGCAAGCAAGGCGCGCGCGCGCGCGCTACGGCTACACCGAAACTTGCGTAATACTCGCGATGCGGCGCCGACCTGCTTTCCGTAACGTGTATATACGTATATATTTCGGCCTGCGAACATATGTCAGATACCCCGCTCGCCTCCTTTTCTCTCTCGCTCTTTTTTTTTTTTTTTTTTTTTCATTTTCTTTTTATGCTTCCGCCCCGCTGCCTAATGATTCGCGCGCGCCGCCTCGTTGTCTTAATTATTCTTATTGCGAGCTCCCCCGGCGGCTTTGGTTTAACGACGGCCCTCGACGACAACGACGACCGAAAAGCCACAGCAAAAGGACCGAGCGAGAGAGCCCGGGGAGAGAAATTAATCTGCCCGCGTTTAATTATAACCTGGTTCGGCTGCGAAAAACTTTCGCCGAGGGGCGGCCGACTGTAATCGGCGAGGAGACGAGTGCGAATTTGATGAATTTCCCAGTTCGATCCTGCCTGTACGCGCGTGTGGGGAGAAGCCGGTAATGGGAATGTAGCGGTTGAAAATATTCGGCATCTCACCGTCAACGATGTTATTGAAATGGAGAACGATGGGGCTAACGAAAATGGGCAGCCGGGCGAGTCTATTGAAAAAAGAAAAATGTATATCTGAAAAGCGATTGCGAGCGTAACGCTGCGTAGACGTAAATTTGGCGCTATATTGTTTTTAACGCACTTCTGGGATTATTAACTAATTCACAAAACGATTTAAGTTAAATTGACAGCTATGCTAGATATCCTCAATTGATGTTTCCTTTGCGGAAATAGATAATAAACGCGGGGCACTTTGTATGCATTGATCGTTGAATATCGCGAATGGGGATTCGAGATGGTTTGCATATTGAGGCAGCCGTATATCGGCAGTCAACGCAGGAGCCAGCGTTCCCAAAGCACTTTCCTATGCGGGCCGCCAACTCGATTGGTCATCGCGCGCACAGGATCCTCCTGGCCGCGCAAGGCCAATGTCAGCGCGCGCAGGCCGACTTCGTCGCTGGAGTCCTCCGAACGTAACGTAATTACGCGCCTATGCCGATATGATTACGATCGCGCGGGGGCGGCCAAACGAAATGGTTCCGGGTCAAGGGCTGCGCGCGTCCGCGGCCCGCGGCCTGTCCGTCCACGCCGAAGTGCCCCAACGATATTGATGCTGCTAATGAGCTGTCCGGCGCTGACGCATTGCACGTGGCGCGCGTTAAAAACAAATTGACGGGACCGCCTCGTTCACCAGCCGCTATTGATTTGATTATGCTGCGCGTTGACCCCGTCAGCCCGCGCGTGGCACTCGCGGAAAATGCAAATCGGGCAGGCTCGGCCGAATGACTCCCCGTTCGCGCTTCGTCGTTATTGCTGTCCGGCGCCGTTACAGATGCTCTTCGCGCGTTCCGATTAGTTGGACCGGCCTTCGCGATAAGGCCGTTCGCGCTGCGAAGAGCGCCTGGGCCGTAAGGCGGTTGCCGCAGCCGGGATACGCGCGTAACGTGGCTCGATGCATTAGGCGCGCTCGCCGGGTCATTAGGAGGAGCGAGAGAGAGAGAGAGAGAGAGAACGCTGGCGGGACGGTTTTTATCTGCAGGCGCCACGAAGTCCATAGGCGACTATCGCGGTAAACAACGATTTATCTTGATCAAATAATGCGACCGAGGCGTATCGTTCGGGCGCGCAAGCGCTATTCCCAGCGCGCTCGCCACGGATAAGCGTGATAAGCGCTACTGCGAGTTCGATTATTTAAAACAGACGGACGGCGGCTGCGTGGGGCGGCCCACCGAGCGCGCGGCCGGCTTTTGACGAGCTGCAAATAGCCCGCTCTAATGGACAATAACGATCGCGAGTGAGAGACCGAGGGGGACACAGGTCGCGCGCGAGTCCCGAGGCAAGTCGCGCCGGCCGAAGACGAAAAAGCCTCGGGTGTATCGGCGTATTGCTCTCGATTCGGCCTGCGAGAGAGAGAGAGAGAGAGAGAGAGTAGCGCTCAAGGGGCTAGCGTCAGGTCAGTCGGGAAATCGGTCCGAACGAGCTCGGATTTATCGAATCGACTTGATGAGAGAAAAATAGAGCTGCATGCGCGTCCCCACCGAGCAGCCTCTCTTGTTCTATTGACACGAAAATCACACGGTCAGCTGCTATAGCTGTACAGCCTCGGACAAACAACTTCACCCAATTGTTTATCTGTCAGTACGAATCGTTGAAAGTCTCAATTTTCATACCGATTTGCAGGGTTATTCGCGATTTATCTCGAAAGCGCGTTACCGTTACCTCTCAGTCTTAAACTTTTTATCTATCCTCCTTCTAATCAGCCTGAATATACTCAAACTTATGATGGAATTAAATAATTGCTAATTTTTGTTTTTCATTTGAATATGGAAAATTAAAATTTGACTCTTGTTTATGTTATTAGCGAATATTCGATTTTCCCTATAACCATTAATCTTTTGTGAGATAAATGGTTATTTTTTCAAACAACCGCAGGGTTATTTGTTAAGAGAATTATCGATGTCTGCGCGACAGCGGGTCGTAGTTTCCTTTTCGTAAATGCACAAACAATAAACAAAAAGGAAAAAATTTTAGAGAACCTCTTCCCGCCGAAAGAAAGATCAAACGCTTAAACTTCAAAAGGAAATTTCGAGTTTCTGTAAAGACTAGAAAGCCAGGCATTAAAATTTCTGTTCGCGCCACAAAAGCCAATGTATAAAAAGTTTGGAAATCCAGGCTTCTTAGAACTACGATTTCTCTGGCTGGGAAAAACCTACGCCAGGTCGCACACAGCTGGAAGACTTTCGTCTAGATAAACGAGAGAACCCTAAAATGTATCTACATCTAAACAATTAATAATAACCAACAGAAATATCTTGCGCTCTGCGATGAAACGCACAGATACCACAGAAATGCGCAAAAACCAAATTTGTAGTAATCAATAATAAAAATTATACGGCCGCTAAGTAGCGTTCCATACAATCATGTCTATGCGTGACCATGACACTAACAAAAGTGTGTCCTTCAATCGTCCTCTAGAAAATCTGTTCTTTCCAGGAAAAGCAAACGTTTGGCTCGAGTTTGAGGGAAATTTGGAGACTTCCTAGAAACACCCTGGCCTGCACAACCCAGCATGGAGCTCTCTTACCTGAGAACTAAGCACTTTAGAACAGTCACTAGTACCCTCATCAATCTCTCATCATGAAATTAAGCACGTAAGCGAAGAAACCAAGAAAACCAAGCAGCCGAGTCAAGGAATAAGTGCAGATGTGGTAGTGTGGAATAAGCTACAAGCTCTCAACCAAAAGTAAAGAGTTAAAGAATTTAAAGTCACTTTCTATTTTCCTTTTAGAGTTTGGTCCAATTCAAACTCCATTTCTTGAGTGTGTAGGTACTACTATCGTTTAGATCCATACATTTATTCTTGTAGACAAGCAGATATTGTTAAGTTGGACCTGATACTCTTTACAGAGAGGCTGCTATTCTTTGCAGCTAAATTTCAACCGTGGAATAAAATTAAATCGTAAGAGTATAGAAAAGTGTCACTCTATCTCTTTTAAATCAACAATAATCAAACAAATGAAATAACTTAGACGGGAAGTCACAGTTAAAGCGAATAAGAAACCCCGAGGATGTGTCAGCCCCAGACGCATTTCAAACTGTGACGCAGCCACAACGGCACATCTCTGTACATTGATACTTTTTGAAAAATGTTGTAACAAATATGGAGGGTATATTATAAATAGTTTACGCAACTTATAGCGATGCCAGACCATTGGTTGAATAGAGTCTGTATATTTTTTCCAAAAAATACAAAGTTTATAAATTTTGATTGGAAATGAAGTACATTTATAAATATATAAATGTACAATTTATAAATCAACTATTTACGTTATAAGTTCGTCAAGGGTAACAGTACTCGTTAAATGTAGCGCAGAAAATATGAATAAAGAATTTTTTAAATAATGTAAAATTCTCAACTTGACCGAATTAAGCACCACCCTCGATTACTTCTTCCAACAGACAAATTTTGCCCTCTTAGATCAATTTTTAAAAGTAACCTTTGCAACGTTTTAAAATAACCTTTTACTTTATACACATATGTCTAACGTACTACTGATTTTTAAACGGTATCATTTTCAAATAACAGCAATTTCAACGACGTCGGTTAATTTGAAAAATAAAATGAACGTACAGACGTTATTTAATACGTGAAAAACAATTAATCAAATTTGAGAAAGGCTGCGATATAAACAAGCAAAAGAAACGAACGAATAGAATATTTACAAAAAATTGACGCAATGCTAAGTAACATACCCAATGAAGCGAGATTATTATACTTCGATGCATTTGTCTCAATCTGTTTCATTTGATTGCAATAATTGAGAACTCCATTATTATTTTTAAACTGATTAAAAATATATGGAATTAAAAATTATTGTATTAATCTAAAAGATTCAAGTTGATCATTTAAACTGTCAATAAGTAATGCTTTCCGAATTACCGAATACTTTTCCGAATTACCGAAAGATTGATGTTGCTATTACTTTATACAATGTTAACTTTTCATGTGAGTCACAAGTTGCTCATCGTTCTTCAGTATTTTCTATACTACGCGCTTTTAAAAAATATATGTGTGTGTCAGAGAGTGCTATTGACATTTCTCTATTGATTTTTCCTTTTTCTATTATTTTAATAGTTCTACCGTTATCCTTACAGTTTTCCAGACAGACACTGAAATATTTTTATGTTATTTTACATACTTTGTAAACTTCACTTCAATTATGTCAACTCCTGAACTGAAATTAAAATTTGATAAAAAGGACAATGGGTTGAAAATCATAAAAAATGAGAAAGATAACAACGGAACATAAGAATATAGAATATTTATTTTTTACCATTTTTACAGAGAAATTAGAATAACTGTATAATTACTTTATAAAAAAAATTCTACATTTTATGCCTTCTACTGCGCACAACGTTAATAATAATTCATAACACTTTATCAAAGCCTCTTTCATTTTGTCACAGCCTCTAGAAAAAATAAACATAAATTCAAAGTGCGTATACTTAACGAATCTTAAGTTTAGACCGACGCTGGTTAAATGACGCTTTTTCACTTAATCTAATGTTACATATATATGAATCGATAGTGAAACAAAAGTTTTGTAATACAGGATTAACACAGGGCTTTGAAGGTCAAACGTGAACAGCAATTGTGTTTTTCTTTCTACGAATAGGCGAGAAAAGAACAGTATTGTCAAGCAGGATATATATTTTTATAACTGAGCAAATATATGGTACTTTTAATAGGATTATACTTTATCGTAATCTATAGTATTTGAAAATTAAACTTTCAAAAATAAAATGCATATAGTAAGATATGTATATCTAAGAAAATATAACAATTTCACAATGTAAGATTCACGTTGATTGTTTTTAAATTTACGTAGTTTTTCACAAATATATTTATTTTCAAGGTACATGAAATCCAATTTCAGATCGGTGCATATAATTTATAACCAATGCGCTATTGATATGCGTATATATGTATATATCACAATAGCGCTCACATATATTATATAGCATGCAAAGGTGTTTGAAAGTGCTCAAAATAAAAAAATAATGAGACGTACTAAAAGAAAAAAAAAAAAAAAAAATTAATTTATTTGAAGATATCATAAAATAAATAATAAACCTCACTGATCGTCCAGATATAAAAAAACGAAGCGGTTAAGATACATGATTTAACATATCCGGTTGGTCGCATAACTTACAAACGCTACAAATTTAAATAACACACATTAGCTCTACGCAAGAGCAACGTCGAGGCCAATAATAAATATCAATGAAATTTCGATAAGATGAAGTGAATTCGACCAGTCCAGAGCCCGTTGTCTAAGCAGTCTATATAATCTCGTGTATATCGAAAAAAATCTTGCTCATTCCACATTAGCGACACCAAAAGAAACGATCGATCTCGAAAAGATAAAAAAAAAGAAAACAAAGAACAAATAAAAAAACACGACCTAGCAAAACGGAAACAAAGTACAAAATACCAACTCAATAAGAAATCGTTCATTTCTCCATAGTTTTATATCACTTTGTCTGACGTAAAATTTGCACAGATTAAAACACACACTCTATCACATCTCTTTTATTCGTATAACAGCGGGCAAGCAGGGTGTACAGTCGAAGTGTCGTAGTTGAACTGAGTCGAGGAAGGAATAATGAATAAATTAGGCGTTCAAATGTTTCGCTGCCGATATTACGCGCCTAGCCCTCGTCGAGAGGTGAGTCGAGGAGGCGCTTACGTTTAAGAAGGGCTGGCGCAGTAGCTGACCAGTTCGGCGACTGAGCAAGACTTGACGCAACACTCGTCGTGGACGCCGCGCGACTGGCGCCGGTATCGACTGCCGCCGAAGCGGCCCATCATCATCGCCCTGGCCCTGGCCCGCGACCTGAATGGATATGAGTCGTCGTACGAGGGGTAATCGTCCAGGTCCATTTCTGTAACAGACAACAATTCCCAGGTAAGGGCCTTGACAAATACCGATTTGACAAATGCCTGCCACTGCGGATTTACCTCCATTACGTCATCTGTCATTTTGCCCCGCGCTCCTTTTGACTCGCGTATAAATTTATGGGCCGATTTATTCGCGACGTCTTTCCTATTCCTAGTCGAGCGTATTTCCGTTTCAAGGGGTACAGACCTTCGAACTTCAGGGAGGATGTTTTCCAAGGAATCGTGGCTTTTTTAATAGGAACGGTCATTTTCACGTGGCGGCGGCCTGCAACGCTCGATGGCCACGACAAAAACCGTCCGAATGATCGAAACTAAAATAACTCTGTCGCCAAGTGATATTTCCACAATAACGTACGTACTGAACTGATCACTAACCCGTAGCGTGGATAAAAAATACGAAGCGATATTTGTGGTATCTAAGCAAGAATAATCAATGAAATTCATCGTTTTTTTATAAAAGTACGCTCAGCGCGATAACAGCCAAGGTTTTATAACTTTTCATCGTTATGATTGGACGTCCAAAAACGAAATCGAATGATATAGTAGCACGTACCTTGATCTCTCTTGAACATCGTGTTGTACAGTCCATGGCAAATGAGCTGCAATGTATTTACAAGATGCTTGCCACAGTATTTGCTCATTCCCTGACGTTTAACTATCAATTCATAATCGTTTAGTGGCAGCTCTGCACTAGACGATTGCACCATGATCAGACTCACCAGCGTGAGCATCAAGAGTGCTGCTAACCGATATGTGGACATCTGCAACAATTGACAATTCCAATCCAAACATCAGAATTATTTTTCGACGATCGCTTAATCACGCGCGTAAACATTTACGAACGTTTATTAGTAGGCAACGCTCGAATCAGAATTATCGCGAAATTCAATATCAGTCGGACGTGTCGTTTCGATGTCATCGACATGATCGATCGGCAAAAGAGCATTATGCATAACAACAAACGACTCGTTCGTTAAGGCAAAACAGACAAAAAGAAGAACAGGAGATTTACGAAGATCTCCACGTGAATTTATATATCCCCATCGAAAAAAGAAATGCTTGTCTTGACTCTCACCGCAAAATAATGTATCGCACGTCTCTCTCTTCCTACATATATGAATATATTGTATAGATTCATCCGGATAAGCGAGGGGAAAAAAATGCGATGCCCGATGGCCCAGCGGCAGGTCACGTGTCAGATAATAATTGTGCCGGAGCGCGGGGCGATCAGCTGTTGCCAGCCAAAGCCCTCGTGTGATTTACAGCAAGAAATCGCCAGTAAATTAGCACGACAGATGCGACAAGCGTTTCGATCGCTGGTTCCGCGCGCGGTCAACGCGCGGTCAACGCGCGCATTCTTCTTCTTCGTTTTTTCGTTTTTTTTTTTTTCCTCCCGTCTCTCCACCGCCGGATTGCGATCTCGTTACGTTTCCGATTCCGGACAATTCGCTTGCATGGGAAAAGGGGGGGGGGGCTCCGGCATGATTGGCCGAATAGATATTGGGAATTGGAGGTTTTGCATAGTCCGAGCAAATGCTTGGCGTTCGTGGAAAACGAGTCGATCGGGCGGTGCGCCGGCAGACAGAATTGTTAGTTGAAAAATGGGCTTACGCGCTCTTGGTCGATTTTCGGCGGCCGCGCGCGCTAACTGCATCCATCCTCTCGAGAGGACGAAGCGACGAGAGAGCCCATCTCGGCGGGAAAGAAAAAAGAAATTCAATCCTTTCGCAAACAGTCGATATCACGGGCGCCCATATAAGCGTCGCGCGCGATAATCCCGCTGGCATTATCGGCCTTCAACTTGTTTCGTTTGATTAATTTCAGAATTCTTGGTGTATTGACTTTACGAATAATCTATAAGCATTGATCCCTCGCCTTTCCTATCTTTCGATGCGCGCATATGTTGTCTCTGCCTATCGAGTTAATTGATTACATAACGCGCGGCGTTACGCCGATCGAGGATTGAGAAGAGACGAAAAACAAAAAAATACAAAAAACGAAGCACGTGGTTCAGATTGAACATTGCGCTAACGAAGAGCAGTCGCTGCGTGATCGTTCGTTCGATCCGGCGTATTTGAGGCGCGAGCGGCGCGCGTGTTTCCTCTTACGATAATCGCGTCGCGGGGTCCTCCGAACGAATCCCGCGAAGACGAGTTGCGCGCTCCCTTAACGCGCTCGGCACACATCAGTCTGGTATCTCGTCCGCTCCAGCAGAGGCGCGCATCAAGCAAAGTGATATTTAATACTTGAATTGCAGTTAGACGAGGAGTTGCGCGTGTAATAGCTCGCGAAACTCGTGAATAATGCAGCTGCCCTCGGCGCGTACGTGCGAGCTTGCGGTTACGTGTACGCGCGTATGTGCGAACGACAGGCTTCGAATGGCCGCGGCGGTAATCGAGTTACCGTTATGAGTATTGATCGGTGAAAATGGCTCGCGCGATCAAGCCGTCGCGCGCGGACGACAGCTACCGTATACCGGTGGCGATCGGCTTGTCTTTCTTTCTCCGTGGCCCCGCTTATCGTTTCTTTCCTACTCTCGCCTCTTTGTTTTCCCACTCTATGACGAACGATCGCGAGGCAGGTGAAACGAGCCCGTCCGTACACTGTGCCATCAGGCAGGTCTGTCGCCATCCCGGATGTGCCGCGGAAAGTCCCTGACGCTTCGCGAACGCGAATGGAAACAAAGACAAAATGCACATTACCTTGAGGTTGCAAAGCTCCCCAGCGAAGGAGTCACAGCCGACAGCGATGATAATCAACGAAATCTCTCACTGATGCGACAGCGTACATCGAAGAAGGAATCATCGTGCGAGTTACATAATGCGAGAATTCAGCGGAACTCAACGAGAAAAGAAAGAATCGCGGCATACAGTGAATCGGACTGCAGAGGAGAATCAGATCGGAGATCATTTCCCGTCCATCGTCCATCACTATATGAGCTGTGGCCGGTCGCGCGCTCGCAGGGTCGTTGCGTTTTCTCTCTCGCTCGGCTCCTTCTTATCTCCGAGGCGAGGGACAGACACAAATCGCACCGTGGAGCGCGGGTACGCGCAGACTAACGCACAAACCGCAAGGGATTTTGGGTTATATATAGTCACTCGGCCATGCTTTCTGGACGTGTTTTCCCGAGACAAGAATGTGTCAGATAGCGCGCGTACGGCCCAACGATAGCGCGCCTCCCTATCTGCTGCCCAGACATCATGATGCTGCGACGAGGTCCGGCAAAATAGAGCGCGCATTATCGCTCGCTCGCTGCTAATTATTCTCGTACTTTATGTAACGCCCCGGCTCCTTACGAATTCCGGATGTTGTTCGCCGATAGCTTTGCGCGCGTGCGGCCAGCCTCGCTTCGCCGTTCAATTACTTCAAAACAATATTTCTCCAGATAAGCCGCCTTTTTTTATTATCTATCCCGATGCTCGTTTTCGCCGTCGCGCTCGGCGTCTCGCTCGATTCGATCCGTGATTCTTTCGCGCCAGCACGACTGTGCACACGGCCACGCGGAGCGCGCCGCTGTGCGAGTCCTTTTCGCGCGTCGTCGCCTGGCAGCGATTCGTAAAAACAAGCGCCTCCGAAGAAATTCGAGAGAAACAAAGCGAGAATCCAAAGTACCTGGCATTCGATAAAAGGAGATACGCCTAATCCGAGAGAGTTGCTCGACAGTAAATTATTTGGCGAACGGTTCGTCCGCGCGTACACGGTATAAGGAGCGCGAACAATGTAAAAAGTCGGGAAAGAGCAAAAAGGAAAGCGAGGAGTGAGGCCGCGATCGGCCGAGGAAAAAAATAAGAGAAAAGGAAGACAAGACGCTCTCGTGGAATTCCGGTCGTGCAAGGACGGCGGACGGAAAGCTCAGGGAATTCGTCGCCCGTTCGACTTATCGATAGGTAAAAGTGAGCGACGTAAGCGTACGCACGCCGCTGCCGACACACGCCAGTGCACTTGGCAGAAGAAAAAAAGAAATGCAACAAAGAAAACGGGGGGAGGGGGAAGAGGAAAGACTTATCCGGCACCGTGTCGACGAGTTTTATTTATAGAGGGGTTCTCGCGCTCGGAAATAAGCTTGTTGTTGCGTCCTTATACGCGTTGTATACTTCGGGAAGCGCGCCCACGCAAAGCTCAGCGTCGCCGTGTATTTTTACGCGATGCGTGTATCGGCGAGAAAGAGAGAAGAAAAAAAGCGAAACCGCGCGTTCTCGGCGCGCCAGAGCTCGGGGAAAATCGCGTTGCGCGACCGGTCTTTCTTGGTACGCCACCTCGCACTTTTAGTACGTGTATGCATATATATCGGATTGCTGATTTATAAATAGCCCATCGTAAGACCAGTTCCAGAACCCACGGCGCGTTATTTTTAATTCATTGGGGGGGAGGGGGAGGCGTCCAAGCGCCACGGATTCATATACACTCGCACACGCACGCGCACACGCACGCGCACACGCACGCGCACGCACACACACACGCACATACACATGGTCATTCAACGGAATTTCACTCACTGTAAACAAGCCCAAGTATGTAGCTGTTGTTTCCTTTTGTCGATCGCGCGTAATCGTTTCGCAAAGAAGACAGGCTTATTTATATCTTTTTATTAGTTCGGATGGCATTCAACTGCTTGTTGTGAAAATCTCAACGGAGCTTAGACGTGTATTCAAAAAATATAACGTCAGCCAGAGTTTTTATCGCATTCCTCAGATTCTCGATTATTTATAGAATGCTCTCTGTTGTCTGTTTGCGTTATTTTTCATCGGTATCTATTCATATTACATTACTCAAATAATGCAGAATCAATCCGTTACCGCATTGCAAATGTAAACCCGTTCAATATCTACGGAGTGTGAGAATGAAAAATCAAATTTTGCTTGCTGCAACGCGATGATAATTAGTCACCGATGTCGTCGTTCAAATTCAAAAAAGCTCATGATAACTTACATCGCTCGACAAGTTCAATAAACAAATCGCCAATGCGAATTTTCAGCCTGCGCGCTTCTTCTATAAGCAATGTTTGGTAAATCAAGCCAAACGAGTCTGAATCGACACAGTGATATGATCGCAATAAACCGCTAGCCAGTGATTAATATTGGAAAACAAGTTATATAAATAGGCGCATTGTGCCATTGATAGAGCAATTCGATCGAGTCAATGAGTCGATTTCGCGTACGAACGACCTCAACGCACAGACTAAACATTTTCGAAAACCGCCGAGTTTTCTAGATATCAAAGCCGCTGCTTGCGTTTTTCCTTAGTGTGCCAAAGTAAGCATCCGATGCCCGAACGAACGTGAATTCAAAAGGCAAGAAGCAACTAGCAACGATAACAAAAGCAAAATAGCACAAAAAGAAAAAAGAAAAAAAGCGAAATAAAGTAATTACATAAATGGGGTCACGCGCGATACGCAAGCTTTCAGGTTTAGGTCAATGTTCCGCTGGCAAGTTATCTTGCACAAGTACAAAATAATGAATGTGACAAGCGCGCGAAACACCAATTGTTAAGAAGTAATGTGGACGACGAAAAACACGCCGAACACGAGCTGGATAACCTTTCGGCTAAGGCTGGCAACGCGAGCAAAAGCTATCTTGCGTGGCAAGTGACGAGAGCTATCTCGAAAGTGGAAGCGCGTTGAGAATCTTTGCTACGCGCAAATATAGCCGATGCTCTTTCGAGGCTGCGACGGATGCCAAGCCAATTGGAATTTCAAGGCCGAATTGAAGGAAACGAACGATCCAAAGCTCGCGACGTCCGAGTCCGCACGGAGGCCAGTTGCTCGTGTTGACTCGGCTCAAATCGGCTGAATCGCGGCGTTGCGGAAGAAAGTAAAAGTGCAAAAACTTACTTAGTATCATTGAGTGAAATCCTTGCTGACGGAAAGAAGAGGGATCGAGCACGTATCCCCTTAGAGCGACGGTTGTTGACGTAGCCGAACGACAACAAACGAATTACAAAAAAAGAGAAGGAGAGCAAGCGAGAGAGAGAGAGAGTACGTTATCACTTGTAAATATCACAGTTTGGCGCGGGGTGTTGGAAGATAGCAGTGTGCGGAAAGGGCAGGGGGATGAGAGTTGCGGCAAGGGTGTGCGAGGGTGCGTGGAGTGCGTGGCGTGGGTGAGAGAGAGGAGACGAGTCGATCAGCTCTCCCTGGCTGGCAAGTATCACTCGCGTATCATGAGTGCGTTACGGCAGAGACTGTTGGCGCTGGACGACAACAAGGATGCAGCTCGCGTAAAGTCGTGTAAGAGGCGGCGTCAGCTGACGTGCTGGACCCTTTGCTAGCTGCATTTATTCGCCCGAACGAGGTGCCCTTTACCGATTAGCGTCTCTCTGCACCCCCGCAGTCGCACTGCACCTCTCTCTCTCTCTCCCTCTCTCTCTCTCTCTCTCTCGTCTGTGCGTGCACTTTCCGCGACGGACTCGCTCGGCGCTTAGTCCGCCAGTGCCGTCAGGAACGAGCAGCCGAGCCAAATAAATAAGCCGTATTCTCTCTTTCTCTCTTTCTCTCTCTCGCTCTCTCTCTCTCTTGCTGCCCGCACCACGGCGATGAGAGAGTGCGTGAAGTACGAATGGCGGTGGAGAGGGAAGAGCAACGCTAATAAAACGATAGAGAGTGAGAGAGAGAGAGAGAGAGAGAGAGAGAGAGAGAGAGAGAGAGAGAGAGAGACGGCCTGTCGAGCGACTCGCTCTCGGCATTCGCTTGTCTCTCTCTCTCTCTCGTGGACTTTGATTCGGCAACCGCTGTCATCGTGCATGCGAGCGAGCGCGCCTGCATTATATACGCACCGCGCTAAACGCCGTCGATCCATTTCCCACGAGCGTTCCGCTGACTTTTCTGCCGGTCCCGAGCCCGCTCGGCGGCTTCTTTCCCAAACGCGCTGCGGTAACTCGTCGCTCCGCGCGCATCCTCACGACTGCTCCCTCGTCCTCCGCGATCCGATTAAGACTAATGCCCCCAACTCGCGACAAGTCCTTTGGTCGCGGAATTGCCATATCCCGTCAACATTCAGCCGTCGCTCGAATCGTTTAAGCCTGCTTTATTTGAACACTTCTTTCAAGGGCAATGCGATGTCAGTGAGGATTGGCGGCATTCAAACTCTGTAAATGTTTTTGTTTTGTAATGCGTCAGCACTGCCGGTGTATTCCATTTTACATAATCGGTACATAAGCTTGTCACCCTATCGCATCGCGTTGTAGGGTCTTGGCACTAGCGATAAAAGTCTCGGAGCGCGAGGGCTCCGCGAAGCTCCGTGCAACGGCGAGACTCACTGCGGATGCGAAAGCGCAACGCGTCAGGGCTATTTGGGAGTAGCCAGCGGCGCAGCGCCACCGAGCGTTCGAGCCGTCGCTTATCAACGATCTCCGATGTAGGCAGGGCGGCGCGCGTCATTCGCCAGCGGCGTACGCGCGCGGACCCGACGCCGAAGCGAGAGCTAATCGCCGGCTAAAATAAACAGCCCTCCGCGCGCGGAGTGAGCGACGGCGCGAAATTGCAAGTGCGAGATTGCGAAAGTTGCGAAGAGGGAGCGAGCGCGATTGGGGCAGCGCGCGCCGCAACTCGTAATTCATGTTCCTGCCGAGGCTCGCCCATTGTAAAATTCGCGCGGAAGATAGCGATCCCGCGCGCGGCACGCCAGCCGAGAAAGACAGAGACGTTTCTATCAGCGGCGAAGCTCTCGCAATTAACGTCGCTCTTATCGCGGACGATCGGCGCCGCCGCCGGCCGACCGAGCGCGCAATCGATCCGTAACTTGGCGCGAGCGACCCGACGCCGCTCTAACCCTGTTTCCAACTTTCGCGCCGCGCTTGCCTTCCTAGCCGGGCTCGCATCGATTGCCGATCGTGCTGCGCCCCGACCTCGCGGACTCGCCAACCGGCGCGAACCTCCAGTCGTGTCATAAAGACTCAGCTTCGTCGAATGCAAACACTCGGCGTAATAAAGCCCACCGTTTACCGGAAGATACAGCCTCGATGGCGCGAATCGACGCGTTACGCAATAAAGCGCGCCGTTTAGCGGCAAGTTTGACTTTCAAAGTGCGAGCAAACAAATCAGTCACGCACTTAACCGAAAATCACCTTGCAAATTGCCAAATTGCCGAAAAAATAATACGGGCATTAGTTTGCAATAGCGACCTCGGCTGAGTGCAAAAGCGAAACGGGGCAATTACTCGGGCCTTAGTCTGGCAAGATCTACGCTCCCAGATTTGGGCACGTTATATGTATATATATAGGTAGCAGTACCAGAGTGAACCTCTTTAATACATTCCCTCGTTTTTTATCTTTCGTTCCTCTTTATCTGACTTATTTGTCATTGTCTCCCTCCCTCCCCCCCCCCCCTCTCTCTCTCTCTCTCTCTGTCACTTCTCACCTATTAGTCTCCATTATTATTGTCAGCGCCGAGTGCGAAGTTACATCAGCACGATTGGTTTACTCCGTGAGCTACGCGAGCATTGTTCTGTCCGAAGCTTTCATTCATTCATTAGTTATTATACCTCCGCTCGAATAACTCGGAGGATTGAAATTTTAATCGTTCAGAAAATAACGTTCGGCTAATCTACGGCGCTATATAAAGAAGAATCACTTTGATTATCTTATTTAATCGAAGAATTAACATATGAATCTCTAATGGGTGCATCAAAGATTCACCATCCGATCTGCTTTAATAGATACAAAATAGTACTCTATTCGAAATACTCATATGAAAATTTATATAACATTTTATTTTACTTATATGAATTTATATGAATTTATATGAATTTTCAATTTTATATAACTGTTAGATAACAAAATTCGTAAAGATTGAGACATTTCATTGAATTTTTAAAACTTATAAATATAATGCGATTCCAATAAGACAACATTATACTGTGTAACCAACGAAATTCAGATGAAAATTACGATATTGTGGAGTTTACAACATTTGCAAATAAAAAGTTTAATTAATGTTTAAAATAACTATTCACATCCTTTAACTTTCAATTTTACGCGAAAGAACCATGCTTGTAATGTACATAATTATTCGGAAAAGTGGATGCTATCTATGAAAATTGAGATACATCGTCGAACTTGCAAGTAATGTTCATATAATGTATTAAATAATTTTCCATGTAATATTTCAATAATATTAGTTCAATGATCTATAGTAAATAAGTTCGTAAACACATAACAAATTGTATTCAAGTACAAATTCAAAGTTGAAATTAGTAAACAAACTATAAGTAGATTGATAACCATCAAAACCATCACGATTCTTGAAGAAAATTATTATTTTATCGTAGAACATTGCCTAAACTGAATGTAACTTTGATTACAAAGCATTCTATAAAATTAATTTGTTGCTCTGTTTAAAATAGCAGCTAATACTTTGTTACTATATGAATTTGTACGTTTTTCAGCATTTTATCGGTTCCTATTCATCCAAACCCTTAAAATTAATATTAAATTAATGTCCACGTTAATAACTTATCCGATAGAAATGTAAGTAACTTTATTCTCAATGCTATGCATGCTATGTATATTAGTGCACCTTTGAATGAATTCGAGTGTTCTTTAATATCCAAAAATGTACTTCAATAAAAAAGTAATGAAAATTCCTATTAAAATATCTCTACAGTGGATGGGTATAATATCATTAAGTACAAAAACTGCCTTAATTTGTCTGTCAAAGTAAGAATATCGTTTCCGCAATAGTTACGTTACAATTTGAAAATTATTATGTTTGTCTTGTCGTAAACATTTCATATACGAATACTGTTAAATCAAACAGAATGCTAATAATGCTGATTTTATGCGCGGCAGTGAATCTTCAATACATTGTTTCACTTTACCAGTTATCAACTGCAGATTGATAAGTGCATTGAATAGAAATTCATACAAAAACACATAAAATTAGTTTCATATCCTAAAAAAATGAAACTTCAGTCACCAATGCACAAAAAGTGTATGCATTTTCATGACATTCTTAACCGTGTATTCGCATTCGACGTTCTAACACTACAATTATATAATTGGAAAATACAACTGTACATTTTGTTCTCGCGATATTAATTACTAACTGTTTCACGTTGTAATGCGCGGCGCTTCGCTATCGTGACAAGCTATTCCCGTTGCCGCACTTTACAGATTAGTTCATTTAATTAATAGACTGTTGTTGTTATTATTCAAGCAGATATTCTAAATGAGTAAAACGTCAAAGTCGAAAACGCATTGGAAAACCACTTGATCGTAAGATGTTATGTGAATTCTGTCAATTTCTATCATAAAACCTAAATAAAGAGAGTTCAGGCGTGAAACTCGAACGCGCGCGAATCATTGAAAGAAAAACCATGAAAATGGAAGTGAACGAAACATCTCTCGGAGAAAAAGCGTACAGAGACAAGCGCATCCTCGCGCTGGGTATCCCTCGGCGACTATCTCCGCGGCGCGCGCTTGCTCTCGGCGTGCAACATCTTGCAAAATTGATTTCGTTGCGCGTCTCCGGTCGCCGCTCGTCGCCGCAACTCCCACTTGCACTACATACGGAGTGCGCGCCACTGCACGCTCGCAAAGTCATTCATTTGTAACAACAATGGAGCCGTTTACGCGTGCCCCGCGCGCCATCGGCCGGAGCCTACGCTCGCGTAGCCCCGTTTTTCTCGCTCTCCTCTGGTTCTCTTCGATTTCGTCTGGTGCCGAATGCAAAAGCACCAAGAGCACGAGCAGAGGAGGAACGAAACGCGCGCGCCGCCGAGATTAACGTGGACGAAAGTGCGGCCGCAGGCCCGCCATTGCTCTCGCCGGTCTGGAATCGCAGTTTGCGCAAAACACGCGCCGCGCGTTCCTCTCACCTTCGCGCTCCAATTACCACGGCGCCGATCGAAACTCCTCCAGCGAAATTGCAAAGCACGAACTGCGCGCATACACTCGATGCCCGGCTCAAATAATTATGACTTTAATGAGTTGCAATAACGCGCCGTGAAGGGGGGGGGGCGCCGATTAATCAAAGCGAGC